ACTGATATTTTGCTTGGATGAGCAGTACAAATTCTCTTGGTAAGTAAATCTCCTTGAAGCTTGTTTTTGCTTTGAGTCTGATACCTACTGGAGTATGACAAATGTCCTATAATAATTATTACCCTGTGGTGTGAGGGCCTGACAAGCTAGCGGTAATATTTAAATATATTGCCTTGTTAAAGCCACAATGTTGCTAACGCAGAGTTTTTTTTCATATTATTTCTCAATCAGGAAACTCAAAAGATACATTGAGTAAAAACCGAGACAATGGGTGATTAAAGTGTTTTAAAATTATTCTAGTCTTGCAACAAAAAGTAACACAATTCACTAATCATTATCAATTGTAGCTACACCACAAAGACAATTACTGCGGAATTTCACCAAACAGTTTATGTGCAGCTTCAATTTTTTTGCAGACAGCTTTAAGTTCAGCTGTTACACATAAGTAAAGATATTGTTTCATTAACTCTGCTCATATGATTTTACTGCAATAAAAGTCTTTAAAGTTTTTATACTGAGTTCTTACATATTTCTTTGTAGTCAACCCAGTCAATTATGAAATGAAACAATGGCAAAAGAAATCATTTTGAGTTTTTTCTTCTTCAAATAAAGGTACAAGATCATCCAAATTACATAATATATTCCCACATGGGAATTACATGTAATTGGGCACTGGTAACTTAACTTAAATCTTCGCCTACATGTGGTTAACGTCACATAGTTTTCCAAAAATAAATGGTACCCAAGAATCTCATTGAGACAACTTAAATACATGAGCAGGGGACCGTCCCTTCCTGTAAATCACACAGTGTGAACTGACCAATTAGATTGTGACTTCTAGTCAGGTGACCCCGAAAGTTCAGTTGAACTTAGTCACAACCACTTTGAGAAATAAACCAGAGGTGGGCGGGACTCACATCCAAATCTGGAAATGTCAAGCCTTAGAAAGGAGAACCTCAACCCCCCCCCCCCCCCAAAGTTCAAGTTTGTCCACCTCTCTTATAAACGTTTCAGTCTGGAAAATGTATGTTGTCGGAGACAGGATGTTCCACAGGGAATAAGTTTAAGAGAGTTGTCACTGTGTGTGGTTGTGTTGCCCATTCTGACAACTGCTATCGATCATTTCATCCTGATGACAGAATGATTTAGACTTCCCATGTAGCTGGATGTGTCAACGCCACTGCAGAACCACGCTTTAAATATTTTTTTCTTCAAGTCTTAATATGCACTCACGGATGCTTACGATTTCTTACCGTAGTTTATTCTACCGCATAACCAACGAGCCCCAAATGGCAATGCACTATCCAGAGGTTGAAATGTTAAATTTCTTAAAGCCTCAAAGGGCTGCATTTGTGAAATGAAGAGAAGCACGATCGTTACTCCTTCCCCTGCCATAAATTACTATTTTTTTGTTTCTGTCACTGGCAGAAAGATTGCATTAAAATTGAACCATGGGTACAGTTAACATTTGCTAATGGTTCTCTAAAACTCATTAACATTCATCCCCAGAGACAATTTGAATCAATTTTAATCTCCAGGTTTTAATTAAAGATGCAGGTTATGCAAATTAAGAAGTCACTGTATGTACTTTTCATGTCATTATTTTTAACTGCCAGAAGTCTTACATTAAAATTTCATTGAGTGGTCTGGGAAGGTGTAATAATTTCCTCCCACATCTTGTGCAAAACAGATGAGTGGGCAGAGATCTTTTTGTCTCAAATTTAGCAAAAATAGTTTTCAGTTTGAATATTTTTTGAAGATGCCATTCCCTGCAGATTAAGCACCGTCGATATATTGATATTACTTCATTATTCAATATTATTTTGATATCGATATTGCCAATAGCAATTTTTTAATCATATCGAAATACCGTACCAAAATTTTCAATATTGAGGAATAGTATCGAAAATATCATAAATGCGACAGATTATCGTCAAAAAACATCTCCAGTTTGTGCTTTTACTTTGCATTTAACGTTTGCTGTATAATGAAACAAAACTTGGCGACAACTTGTGCTTGTGACTCAAAATAAAAAACATGATGAAATGCCAAGCGGCGTCGCTTTGTGCTCTGCGTTCGCTGGAATTCGCAGTCTCCTCCAATGTGAAACCTCAAAAGAAACCGCACATTCTGGACAAACTCTCAGTGCTGAGATTTGTTCTTAAAAGTTTGAGCAATATGCGCCAGAGAAAGTCGTGGAAAATTGGGTCCTAACTTTGAAAAAAAAATTAAAAATAAAAAAAAAAAAAAAAATCTAATGGTCATCTTTATGGTCTTTTACTTTTACATGGATAATCGATATTTCGACAATTATCGATATTGGATTTCCGATATATCGATTATTGAAAATTCTGGTAATGACGGTGCTACTGCAGATCCCTGCAAATTAAGTTAATATTTACTATCTCAATGGCAATAACTTACACATTTTCCTCCCCCCCCCGACCAAAAAATAAAAACAACAGTAACTTCAATGTCACTGCTACTAGTGCTAAAGGAAAAGTAAAATGAGAAGAATAAGAAAATGAGGAAAAGCTATTCATACATATCATTGTTTCATAAACAATTCCTTCCACACGTGTGCGCCTCTGCTGAGAACATCTCCAGAAGATTATCTTCAATAAAAATCTGATTACCGAGTTAAAATCATTCTTAAAAGCATTCGCGAATGTTCAGGATATGCATCACTCCCTCATCCCTGCCTCAGACAAGTTAATCAACCTTAGCAGACGACCGTTCCACCACAGGGCATTACAGCCGTATTAATTACACGCAACGCTAGACAGTAATTCACACATTTTAAGCTGCCATTTGGACGTTTTTGGTACCCTGTTCCCCAGGCAACCGTCTGTCCATTTTTGCCCCATTTTGTTGGTTCATGCCCAGTATGCCCCAATAACCTTTTGGGTAGGGATTAACAAGCTGTCTAAACACAAACATGCTGGCTGAACCATAGAACTAGGAAAACAGAATGCCATTCAGGTGTCGACAAACACTGTGTTAATTTAGGCCATACATACAGAAGTAAAACCATTACAGACCACAATGCACCTTATGTTATTGAACCACCTGGCTTTAATTTATTCTCCCTAATCCAATTTGCTTTACGTCTTTCCAATTTTTCACCGTAAACATTTTAACACACTTCAATATTTTCACGCCAGTTGAAGAAATTGTTCTGACATTTATTAATAAACCAGAGCACTTAGCTTTTAATGACACAGCTGAAATTCATGGGTTTTAAAAATTGAATAAAAATCCCCTGTCAAAACAGACACTGAGTCGCAGAAAAAAACATCCATTGTAAATAATTTTAGAGTAAACAGAATCTACAAAACTTCAAATGAGAATGGAAGACAATTGGACTTTGAATGCATCATCAAAAAGCTGCATGCTTTAAAATTGCTGGCATACATTGTAAGACTAGTAAGAGGTGAGAAATAATAAGCACACGTCACAGGTTAGTGACCCCGGCTCCACACTACATTGCAGACCTGCTCACACCAAAGTGACTACCATTATGCATAATATGCTGTGCAGTGGCAATGCAAGTCCATGGTATTGTGCTGTACATGATACAATGCTTCCAACGGCAACCAGTAGATCATGTCAACGTCTTGGCTCTGTTGGCTTTCCAGATACATGTGCTACATTGTAAATCTTTCCAGAGAGGTTTGTGGTCTACATAATGAACTGTAATAACCAATACCATCAACTCCACACCAAATTTTCTGGTTTATGGCATTTTGATGACTTTACATTAATTGAAAATAAGAAATTGAACCACAAAGCCTCAAAGGGAAACTGACCAGGTGAATTATAGCAATTTTTGAAAAGTTGAACAAACACTTAGACTGGTAGAGCACCTGAACAGTAATCCGGAGGTCGCAGGTTCAAACCCCGCTCCAGTCAATTTGGTTCAACTTCTCAAAAATAAGAAAGATAGTTGAGACATTTTTGTACTGTAGTGATAGCATTATAGCATGGTGGTAGTGGTGTTAGACATTAGGTTGCCGAATCACATTGCAACACAGAACAGCAGTGAATATCCCATTATCTTCGCACCCTCACCACACAATGCTAAGCATCTCTGGATGAGTACACAGAAGAGACAAGACATATCCCAGCTGACTCACAGCATGCATGCTGGGGATGGCATGGTATCAACAGCTGGTTCCCCACAATAACCACAGGTGTCTTTGTTTGCCTTGTTTGCCTTGTTTGCTACTTCTAAGAAAACAAGTCAACCGCATCGAGCTCAACTCAGAAAACTCAGAAAAGAGAGAAGATGAATGTGCACAAACCATGAGAATGAAAATAAGATAAAACCTATGGTATAAGGGTGGGAAAGCACAGAAGCAAACAGATCTTTGTTTCTGCTTAGAGTTTACTGGAGGCATGATTTTGATAAAGAGAGTACTGAACATGCACTTCATTTCGGTCCTACTAAAATGCGTCAACAAGTGTCAACTGGCGTCAACAAGCACCAACAGTCGTCAACCCAACGTCGACAAATTTTGTATAAGTTTGGAACAAGTTTGGAACATAAAAAAAGCTTTATGGTAACAATAGCGACAAAGAACACCCTCAGCATATAAACATAAGTTAAAATTATTTCACAAAGGCGAAACGTACGACGAGTTTGTCGAGTTAGTATTTTTAAAAAGTGCACTGTTAACAGAAACTCCAAATAAACAAACTAACAAACAAACAAACAAATAATCCAATCCAACAAACCCAACAAACAGTAACAATCAAATAAAACAAAAACAGGAATACACCTTAAAAAAATGATGGCCGGTAACTAGAAGAGTGCATTGCTTCAATGTTTTATAATGCACAGTGCACCACGACAAATTTATGCAGACAAGGTACTAATCTGTTCAAAATCTGAGATTCGTTTCCTAAGACCACATACACAGAGCCTAGTCATGCTGAACATGCAGTAAGCTTATTGGTTTTTAAAATTAAATCCATTTATTCTGGGGAGGTAATTTTACCTGACATAGTCTGCGTGTGGGCGGCATACGTTTGTCTCTCCGAGACGTAATATCCATTAGAACTGGCGTCTTTGGGTGGTACATCATTCATAGTATCGTAGGCATGCAGGCAATATAGATCACAGCACATCCATGGATGCTTAATCCTATCTTGAAACGCAGTTCACTGCTTGCCAAACGGGGATGTATGGAAACTCAACAAACCGGTGAAACTTGGGTCAAACTGAAGAGGATGTTTGCCTTGTACTCATTCATTCTGATGATAGTATACACACAACATGAATTTGCAGTCACAGCAGCAGAATCGTCCGTACCGTCACTCTTAGCTACAAGATGACAAGTTTCGTACAAATTGCAACCACAGAAAGCTGCAATACAGTTGGATAAGCACACAGTACAACCTGTGTAGTGTTAAGATTTCAGCCCCACAACTGGGACTGAAATTTCCCAACGGCTGATGCAGTCTAGTCGTCAAGATGACAACTGGTCCATGTGATGATAACACCTTTAAGTCAAGCACGATTGGGTTCAGAATCTTCCTGTATTCTCCAAGACTGTGACTGACACTATTAAGTACAAGTCCAAAGTAAGACATCAGCAAAGCCCACTGTGTGAAGAGCTGAGTCACAGTTATTGTTCACCCTTCGATGGTCAGCACTCCAGTGAGAGAAGTTAGACCATAGAGCTAGGTGGCTTTACACCCCCTATATATCTCTACATGGAGTGATATGTGGGTCTCCATCAACAACCCAGTAATCAATGAATTTCACGCCTGTCACTCAGACCCAACAAGCCCACACACTTCAACTGACAAAGCCCATTGTGTTTGCTTTTAACAAGGTGGGAAAAAACTGGACTAAGCAATAAACCGCAAGACAAAAAGGGAATTATTATGAGCCCCCACAACCCACCCCAGCTTCATTTCACGTTACACTAAGGATCCTGTCAAGGATTTGAGTCATACACAAAGGTGTCATAAACCCATGGGTCTGCAGGACTGAACCTACAAGTTGGTCAAGTACTTTTATGGTCAGATATTCTTTGGCCAGTGACGGAACAGATGTAAACCTACTGGCTCTCTCTCCGTTTTGTGAGCCCATGCAAGACTCCACAAAGGCTTGTTCGTGTTCTCAAAGTGTCTACCAAAAAGTTACCACAATCTCTTGTGCATAAAGGACACACACGTTTCCTGTGACAAGTATCCAATTTATAGACGAAACCACAATTACAAGAATCCCGAAACTATTACCAAGTGGTGAACCATTAAGCCCTGTTTCATAAATCAGAATGGTTCCGAGTGCATTAAAAAAGTTTCCAGAAATAAATTGGAAACATCTCTAGGCTCTTTGGGAAACTTGTAAAAAAGTTTAACAGATGGGAGGGAAATGTACAGCTGCATGCAAGGGCAGATCCAGAACACAATTTTGGAGGGGGCCAAAAAAAATGTTGGTCCCCCAAAAAAGTGGGTCAAAAAAATTACGGCGTGGGGTTCGGGTCCCGCTTAAGGGCCCCGAAAATTTTTTGGATTCTAGATGCTCTGTGGTGCGATCTGAGGCAATTTCTGACCACTTTAACCAATGTTTTTTGAGGAAAAGATGGTGATGTACTCATTGCCTGCCTTTATTGCGATGTCACATGAAAAAATAAGAAAAATTCGTTTCGTTTTGGGGGGGGCCATGGCCCCCTTTGGCCCCCCCCCCCCTGGATCCGCCCTTGGCTGCATGGGCATAAGTAGGGTAGGGGGATTTTTATTATTACAGATTACTGTACCGTATCTTGGCACTCTTCTCGACAACAAACTTAAACTTTCTAAAACTCAAAAAAAAAAAACCAAAGTGATTTAACACCAATAAATTCATACCTCCTGATATGTACCGGTCACTACCAAAAGACCTAATTTCTGAAGATAATCCTTGTTTCTGAAGCTTTGCCTTTTATGCATCATGTAGGCCTACTGAATTTTGAAATGTAAAAAAGAACACTACATACATATTAATACTTCCAATCTCCAGTGACCATAACAAGTGCAGGAGTTTACCCAGAGAATTCTATTTAAACTGAAGTGAAAGGAAAACCTTTAGTGTTCTCCATGGAGTTCTGATGTCTTCTCAGTCCTTAATCTAGACAATTTAAAGACAGCTCCACCAAACGCCTCCCTCTCCACTTTGAGGGTGTTTTCACAAGTACTAATCCAGTACTAATCCAGTATTATCATCATCTCAGTGTAATTACACTTCAATTATCTGGATACCCTGGAATTACATAACATGCAAGACTTGCTGGTGGTTGCTTTAATTGGGATTTGGAGGGAACTATGGAGAGCTTGTACATGTACATGTACATCATGCACTACGCCAGGCTGTACAGTATATTAATGCAAATTTGCATCATAGGGCTATATTTTAAGAGGTATAGCCTTGGTCAAGAGACATTCGAGGGTTAGCATCTGAATTCTGATGATCCATGGTCAGCCGCTAAATGATATTGATAAACAGTACGGGTAGCCGCACTGTATATTAAGCACGAACAGCAACCTCATGCGATAGGCTATGCAAAACAGTTGATGCTGTTCGAATGCCCTGGCACAATGTGGCTTTTTCATGAAATTTTTTGTTATTTTGTCGCTCGATTTATAATAATAATAATAATAATATAGGCATTTCTATGGCGCTTTATGTAAAAATACCTCAAAGCGCCTCACAATAAAAATTATAAAACCTTTGGGCGATGAAAATACTCAAAATATGAAAGTTACTTACATGTAAAGTGCTACACACTTTAAAAATACCGTACTTAGAGTGCTATAGCGTGTTATATAGCTTATTACGTACTTAAAGTGCTATAGCTAAAAAAAAATAGCGTGTTATATTTGGTCTGTGAACTTCAAACTTGCTAGAGAATGTAACCACACTAGTATCTACATGTAGCTCTCTATCCATGTAGAATATGAGCCTTAAGCACTGAATAACAAGCTCATTTCTATTCGCATACCATTACTAGATCATTGCTGGAAATCCAGCGACAAAATTAAAAAAAAACAAAGACGAATGGATGTGCCAAGGGGTTGACCAGCAGAAATTGATTTGCATATTTTAGCTTAGCAGCGTGAGGTCGCTGTTCGCACTCCACACAGTATACGTGTGATCGGGTACGGTAAACAAAAACAAAAATCTTGTAGACTCTGTTCAACAGAGAATTTTTCCAAAAGGTGATAGCACTCCAACAATGGACACAGTAAACCCCAATACTTCCAACAATTGCAGTATAATCTTAGTGAAGTTGAGGGAATAGCAGATTTTCCAGACTATAAAGGCATTTAAATCGCAGCTATCGACACCTCTATGACCGACTCTAGACTGTAGATGATCATCAAACAGGCTCTTGTCTCGCTCCAGCTGCGTCACAAGAAAGATAATCCACGGAAGTCAATCTCATCCACTTCCAGCCCAGGTACATCTGTAATCCAGTCTCATTTTAGCTGAGCAAAGAGACCTTCAGCCAGAACCCCCCCCCCCCTCCAACAACGCAGACCGTAAGACACGACTCATCCCACGGTTAACTTTCCTCTTAATGGCTCTCTGGTTCAAGTTCGGGGAGGGCGGGATATCCCCTTTCCCTTGCTGTTCACACTTTGCAGTTCAATACCAATTTTGCTAATGCAAATAGCCTGCAGGGCGGCAGATTGCCCGGTTAGAGCCGGAGTCACCTCCAAGTGAAACTAGAGAGGGCCAGCTGAAACCTTAGCCCATCGCGACACTTGGGATAGACAGTGGCGCATTATCTGCAGTCAATGAGCGGACAAATCTGAATCATCGCTTCAACCTTCTCTTTAATCAAGAATTCACATCTCGTACAAAAATAAATAAATCCACAGAATTCTTGTTCGGTAAGATCTGTCTTTTGTAATTGGCCTAAATCAATTATGGTGCATTGCTCAAGAGAACAGATTCATCGATTGGGAAAATACACACACACACTAAAACAACTTGACTGAACTTTTATCTTAAAAAAACCCAAAGTTTACAACGTCAGATTTGCATATTTATGCAAACTGTATTACAATATTAAACTACATCTTCAAATTATAGTTTAAGTCAAAATAACAGTGTCTGTTGAATCATCTTTTTAAATTCATTCTGAAAAGGAACACGTAATTGTGAATAACAAACTTTTCCTAGGGTCAATCACAGGGGACAAAAATGGACATAGATTTCTTTTTTCCATCCTTAGAAGGATCTGAGATGAAACATTAGACAGCGGACTCGGGTGACAAATTGAACCAACATTGAGCTCACCTCTTAGAGTCAGTAATATACTCTGATATAGCTCCAAAGTGAAATTGTGTATCGGATGGCACTATGGATTACCGGCCATCATGTTGTATTGCTTCCACCTGTCCTCGGTACTCAGACAAAATGGGAAAAGAGACTTAGCAAGTTGCATCAGTGCCGGTAATGAGAAAATATATGCCGTGAAGTTTTTTTTCTGAGTGGATCTTGAGGGCTGCTTTGTGCTTTTACAGGCTCAATGTGTTTTGCTTTCTGAAAGATAACGCACATTTGTTGGCAGGCGTCTTTGGAACTTGTAGTTGCAAAAACTGAACACAAAAGAAAGAAGAGAAATTATGTAGTGGATTATTGTTTACTTTTTGAGTTGAAAATAAAATTTTAGACCAGCTTTAATATCTTGTGTGAACCCTCTTGTGCACATTTATTGTATTTTTTTACTTGTGGTTATTGTGGACATTAATGATGTGTCTTAATATCTACATCATACAGATGATATTTTCAAGACAAATTTTTCATCCATTGGAGCTGTAGTCAGTGTCTTGAGTGACCACTGTGAGCCAGCATGACCTTACAAGGATCAATACCTTCTGAACAAATTCAATTGAATGGACACAGAGTGTTTGACAGGGTTTAACACAACAAGAAGCCCTCTGCCGCGCTGGGCCAGTGATCGCCGAACAAATTCCTTGAGCGAAGTTTTAAGAGCAAAAGATGGTTAGACTTAGAGAGGCTCTGAGTCAGTGTAGACAGAGATAAGTTAAGGCATGCCTACATAATGCAATTCAGGACGAGTGAGCAATGAGACAAATGAATCTGGATGGAGGAGACAGGGGAACGCACGACCCAAGGTTGACACGATTTTACCCTCGCTGATCATCCTTGCTCTGTCGGTGACACGGATAAAGAAACTGAATGCCACACACCGCGTACGCACGCACACACACAACGTTACGCATGCACAGCCTTCCCACCCTCACCGCCAATAATATCAATTTCGTTTCGCACAATGCGCCAATTCGAGGGGCTTTTGAGAACGGACGAAAACACCACTGCCCACTATTATGGATATGACGGCAATGTCAACACATGCAGACTCACACTTCTCAGTAAAGTGCGGCAATCCAATCCCAGCCTAATATCGCATCCTACAATTTGATTTTTTGTAACCGTAACTCCTTTTGAGGGATGCCGCCGCGGCTGAGAAACCCTTTCAAGCCAGGCGATATCAATAGATCCAATAGTCGCTATCCATTTCAACAACTCTCGCCAAGGACGAACTAATGCACTCCAATGACCTCAGAAAGATGGAGAAACCTGTAGCGATTCCTGTTCTTGTTCTCGTCAACAAATTTTCAATTTCTGGGTACAAGAAATACCCATTGTGCTTTCACCATTGAAATAATCTATGTCCTGTGCAAAAGATCATTGTACACCCCAATTGCTTTTTCCGTATCAAGTTCTCGAGTTTTAATTTCGGAATAAAGGCTTTTGTAGTGGTCCAATAGAATCATCGGGTCCCTTGTGGGCAAGCCTGCTGCCGACCTATTGTTCAGTATGATTGATCTACAGCAGTCACACTGTGACAATTTGTAATCAAGCATTAAATTGACAGACTTCTTTGCTAGCTTTCAGGTCTTGCTCTGGTACGAGAAACCCATTAAATAAAAGAAAGAACACCACCACAAATCCCGTAAGTTTTGTGCTGCAGCAGATTTGGGTGGCCAGCTAAGTACGACATATCCCTGAGACAGATCGCTTCTTTTTTTTCTCTGTTGTGACGGTTTCTGCCGATTAACCCCATTCATATCGGTCATTAATCCCAACTGGGTGCAAGCCGCGATGCTTGTCTAACCCTGTTGTCATTTAGAGGACAGTGGCTTTTTGAGTTAAACCCTTCTTTTATGTACGCTGAAAGGCCCGACTACAGTCAAACGTGTATCACTATCACGGACAATGGCCGCACTGGGTCACTCCCTGCTGCGATTACTCTCATCGCATTGTTAGAGTCACTGTTGTCTTTTCCAGTGGATGTGCAGACAGGGTCTTTGCCTGAATTACTACCCCCCCCCCCCCCCACCACCACAAACCATTATTTCAACCCCACTCTTGGCCAGTAAATCTGAATGAAATGGGCCATTCTGTTGGATCTAAGTCAGCCAATTGCAGACTAACAACAAAAAAACAGTAAATCAATAGACCATATCAAAGAGTTTTCTACACCATTGAACATTGGGAGAATATATGAGTAGGACAGACCACCAACTAAGATTCCAAAAACAGTGAGACCTGTTCTTTTTCCAGCAGCCAGCAATCTTGAATCAAATGAACACAATTGTCATAATTTACATTTTGAGCATTCCCTGCAGATCTTTGAAGATTCTAAAAACAAATTTGACTAATAAGTTATCAGTAAATAGATTAGATTTATGATGAAATCAAAGTCTTAATATGTTTTTAATATAAAAATGAATACAAATGTAGAAACTACTACCACAACTGAGGCAAACAGTAGGCCTATAGTAGAAAGTCCAGTTCTGGTTGACAAGTTGTGTCTCACCATTATGTGCGCATTGTTACAACACTGTACCTAAGCCTGCATTTCAGTAGTTCATTCATTCTTTCCTCCAAAGAAAAGCCTATTGAAATAAAAAACGTTTTATGATTTCTGGCTAGCACCAACAACAGCAAAGATGGTAGACTATTAAGTTTCCAACATGGAACTCTATCAATTTCTCAGTGGGTACAGTTCCAAAACAGACTCTGTCCCTAGTTCAATTCCTTGCCCAGATGCTCAGTTACTCAAAAATTATTGAAATTGTGAACTTTGAAACCTCCAGAGGTGGTCTAAGGTGTTTTATGAGATGAAACAAATTAGCTATGACACCTTACTTACAAGGTTAAATGATTCATTCCCTTGAGACCTAGTTCCTCTCTGCGTTAGTGACTGATTTTTAGATCCTTCCACTGCAATCCAATATGCCTGACCAGACCTTAATACCACCACTTGCCCAACAGATGGAAGCGTAACACACCGTCCAGTAGTTGGATTCATTGTTTGCCAACAGGCGGCTGATTCTTTGCCGAAATTGTGATAAATGTCCCCAAAAGCCCTCCAGATTATGCAAATCTACGCCATTTATAATACAGGCTTGGTGCTAAAAGCAATCAAGATGGCAATGCGCTTCTGCTCAATTGAGCACGGGAGGAATTTGCCTCCGTAAGGAGCTGTGAACAACTCTTGCGTTTTCGCTGCCATTTGCATTTCTTTCATTCAATCATGTTTCATTAACTCCTTGCCTGTATAACCAGATAACTAATGACCATTGTAATGAGCATTGTTTGGCAGACTTAATGAAGTGAAAATAATAATTCAACCAAATCAATCTATTTTACGCTGCTCAAAGGTGGCGCCATTCTGAACCTACCGGTATGTATATCAGCTCACTGTAAGTATAGAGTTACTGTTGTATGATAATGTATTAAATCGTTGCCTCTTCTTTGATTTTACCAAGACATTAATGGTAAAAATGTCAACTTCATCTTGTCCAGCATTTAATCATATTTTCCAGAAATATGTTTAAAAGAAAAGAATGGGACATCACAGCATTAAAATGATGTACAAAAACAGATCGAAACTATTAACTCATAAATTAATTTTTGAATTGGTGGGATTTTTGGGGACTTACCAGGGGATGGTGCTCAGGCAGGCTCCGCAGATAGAGATCCATGATTTGAGCAAAATGATCCTGAACCAGACAAAAACAGCTCTACATGAAGCTTCTACAAAAACAATTTCCTTTGATTTCAAGAGATGAATTTGTTTGACTTAAACTTCCAAGAAGAGGTTCGAAACTCAGTCACAGACAATGAAATGATGGGTTGTTTTCTGTAACAACGTATCGTTCTGTCGCCATATATACATGTAGTACCATCCTGGCTGGGAGAAATGTATTTACCGACATCAACTCCAGATATCTGAAGTGTCAAGAAAAGGGTAAATCCCCAAGGCACACCCCAGGTAACAGGAGGTGACAGACAGGTAGCAAGACTCCCCTGACAATCAAGGTGTGATGGGCTCGCTGCTGGCTGTTGTCTGCAGGCAAACTTTCGGAGAGAGATAACTACAGCATCTGTAATAATCCTTTGTAAACAAGAGTTTCAATGCTGGACTGATGAAACCGAAGGTGTTTTGGACCATCATAAGTGAAGATGCTTCATCTCTGCTGCACCGTTAGCGGCAATGATTGTACTCCCCGCATCCAGTAGCATCCCCCTTTTTTACTTCCTCTTTGCATCAGTAGCCCAAGTCTCTCCTAGGTTGGCTCCAAGAGTCCTGATGCCTATCAGATCCTATCTCACCTCATCTGTGCTCTGTCTCCATGCCCCTGTATTGGTCTGCACAAACTACCATTGTCAGCAATTACAACTTGGGTCTTTTCTCAGATGCACAGTGAAGCATGAGTGAGAAGGCCGGGCTGATCCATTGTGTGGGATGCAGCAGCTGTTAAACTCCTGGACACAGACAGTGGTTGTTGCGCTGAACCTAACAGCATGACGTAAATTGTCTCCATTACTTGTTATTTCTGCACATGAACTGAGTACGCTGCAATACTCTTGATTCTGCCCACTTTCTCCTAAAAGCTGTCTCTCTCTCATAAGTGCAGAGATACACAAAACACTGTCAGCTTTTATTGCAGCAAATTGCCCCTCCGAGAGGAGTTAAGCCTACACACCCCTACAAAAGCAGTGATGTGATATAATGGTTGCTTCCACGCAATCTCATTGGCTGTTGGAATACGCTGCATTCTATGTGTGCGAGTGTGTATGACTAGACTGTGCTTGTATTATTGAAAAGGACAACAGTATCAAGCCCCATAGAGGAACGATTTTAATTCTGCCCTGAGCAGCGGGGATTGATGCAGCTATCAAAGAACGGAGCTATCCAAGCTCGCCAGGAAACGCCGAACAATAAAGGTGTGGAGACAAGACAAATGATAGGTGCTAGGGTAGGAAACGCTGGGCATTATTGACGCAATAAAGACTAATGTGGTCGGCTCTAATAAGACTCTAGCAGTGCGGTGAGACTTGGCCAAATGAGAAAAGGTAGATGAGTGGACAAACAAACAGAGTTTCCCAGCTTTAAATTATCAAGCTGAGCTAATTGAGGAAGGAGCTCGGTGTAAATGGCCAAGAAGTCAAACTAATAATGTTCCTGTCTTCCACACTATTTCAGCGATACAGAATTGACGGAGGTGGATGATAGGTGCGCAAAATGTCCCACGACAGGAATGAATAAAACACTGGTACAAGGCTTTGAAAAGCTGTTGATAAAGCTATTGATAATTTTTTATTCATGTTGTGTCACTGGGCTTGTCTAAAGACTCATTGATGATATTTATGTTGATGACAAATACATGTACATCATCATGTACACACAGGTTTGTTTATGGTGTAAATCGAGGATTTTTTTATAGTTCCTCTTCCCTTTTCCTTTGCCTATACTTTTTCGCAACAGCTCTCATTGGTTTTGTACACGTTTTCCAACAGAGGAGTCCTCGATTTGGTTCCTGTCCTCAATTCATCGATGATGTTGCACGTGTGTGTCCTCGATTTACACCATAAACACGCACACTGTAAGCAAAATGTTAAAATCACAATAAAGTGATTTTTTTTATTTAAATAACTGAGAAAAAAGGAAGAAATTTAAAATTGCCTTTGTAACCAGGGTTAATTTACAGATGTAAAATAATGAAAATATATTTTGATTTGTGAGTATGTACGTATTCGACTTCAAAGTGATGCACAGATGATGTCATCGAGCGTCAAGTTTACAGAAACAGGTCGTGCTGACTCCAGGGCGACGTGCAGATATCACTGTGTGTTCTAGGGCACCCTAATTACAGCCAAATTGGCACAGACAAATCATTAGCGTACAATGCCCTGCGTACAGAGCACACAGCCCTAAGTGGTTGACTGTATGGACAGGCCAAATATTGTCTCAACCGAATCAAACATGGGGCCGAACACTGTCCAATTCTGGGTAATGGATTTGTTCTCCCTGTTGTCCAAATTCAATGATTTGAAAATTATTCCACAAACCAACATGATGTTTTTGTTGGAGGAGGGGTGGGGGCAAATTTTACAAATGTATAACTTGCATTTCAATCTGGACTGCCAAATTATTGCTTGACATTTTATGAACTCATCGAAATCAATAGTGCGAAGAAAAAAATGTGATTCATGGGATTAGTTTGAAGGAATTTTTTTCAATAGTAATTTGTGATTTGTTGCATGAAGGACAATGTGTACATGTACCGGTATGACTGACCAAAACTCCAAGCTGCTTTTGCTACATGAACCCACCATAACAACAAAACGAGTGACAAATGTGAGGAAATGCAGAAACTAGACATGCTTTCATGTGGGTCGATGGATCACCTAGTAATAAACAGTCATCCGTTGTTTGCTAGGTTTGAACGTTTTCTTCACAATGTCAAAAAGACTAATTTTAGCAGTCAGTTAATATTTCCTATACAGTTTTCATCACGGTGCATCTGTATTCATTATTCTTTGATAGACTTGTGCGGGGCTCCGTTCGTGCGTTCAGAAACAAACGAACGACTGTTCCAGAGTTCAACGCATTAGTTTTGACTCGGATTCCGGGCCAACGCAGGTATGAGCTCAGCTTGTGTTTTCCAATAAATCTTCTGGAGTTCATTAACTTGCCGATCGTTAAGTCCCCAGCAACGGTGACTACTGCCAGTAGTTGGGCATTTTCTGGGTCGTTATGTTAAATTTTCAGAGCAACTCTAGTTAAATAGTATTTTATTTTCGCTATGAATATAATGAGAGTGCTACACACTCCCTCTGGATCCATTTTTACAATTCCTAGATGAGTTTTGGATTTTTTTTTTTAAAGAGGAAATTTGTTTGAAATCTTGATAAAGTAATTTGAATTACTCCTTCACTTTCGTAAAAATATTTCTACTTTTTCCAACCTCCATTAACCCCAAAATGAAATAAGTTCACCACAAAAATGACACATTTGTTTACCTTAGGTATAAAAGCAAGTGAGTGATTCACTACTCATGTTTGTTTTGGGAAACTTTAAAATTCGAATTTGAATCTTTAAGACCCTGCATGAAAGCAGATTGAATTTTTTCAAATCGTCCTCTACCTTTTCTACAGTATATAGCTTGGATCATCAACTGGTTGTCATGCATCGTGAATACAAAATCGGCAACACCTTACAAAGGAAAGAGAAGAGGGGCTGAAATATTGAAGAAAATCTAAAAGACCTGGGATTCTGGAAGAAAACATCCCCTAGGGTGGAAACTGAAGCTCTCAACACATTAATCTGATTTAAGGACCAGTAATACCTGGCTTTGGACCATTGTAACGCCCCTGACTTTGCAACACGATCTCCGAGAGCCCACAATGACGGCCAACTCATGCAACCCCACAATCTGCCAATCCCATTGAGACTTTCTGGAGACTTTAATGAATCACCTCTGACCATTTTTGGGAAGAGACTTTCCTCTTTTATCCCCTCTTGTGCTTGGTCCTTGTTCAAGCCTCACTCATCTTATTCGGCAATTCTGAGCGGCATATACCGCCTCCCGTTGGGAATTCTTGACCTGACTTCATCTTCGGAAGGTGGTGGATGACAAAGACACCGAAATGGACGACGCACAGAAACAAAACCCTTGTGCAGATGGTGGAAGGCAAGATATCAATTCTAAATCTGTGATATGGATGTAGGGTCCGGTAATTAATTATTGACATTGTGAAGAAAATGAAGAATGTATCAACTGATTGGCAGTGACAATGATGGAGTGGACAAAGACTTTCCAACAAAAGAGGCATTCTGATTCCAACGTCAAAAACTAGAATTATTCAGGATGCTTGTCTAGGCCTACAATATTTAGAAAAAATATGCAGTAAGGCCAAAAAATAAAAGTGTCCGGCTTTTGGTATACCCGCGCGTCGCCGTAGCCATGCGCATCGGCAAAATTAAAAAGGTTCTTTTTTTCAATGTAAGATGATGTCTCAAAACTGCCAAACTCACTGGATTGACTGGAATCCTGCTGTTGCACAATTGTAACGTGTTTTTAGACGGGGTTACAATCGAGTATAAGCTTTATGTGGCCTCTCTTGGCTCCCAAATACCAGGTATTTTGCACTAAATTTAGTCGGGCACCATTTGCAGTCATCAGCCGACATTTGAAGAAGAAAAAAGTAAAAAAAGAAAGAAGCCGTATCGCCGCACCACTTTTGGGGCAAGCTCCATACCAGAAACCGTATGCTATTTTTTGGGGGGCCTAATGGTACATTTTTGTCCAAATATATAATGTTTTTATTGGTGATTTATTTGCAAATGTAGGCAAAGTGACTTGATGCTTAAATACACACTGAGTACAACTTAATGATTAACAAAGAACATAAAGTTCACAATCAAATATACTTATAATTAGACAGTGCTTTTGACGAAATATTCAAATCATTGGTGCGAAAATAAGCAGTGCATGTAATACGAGTCAACAAGCTGCAGTACTACAACCATAACAATGGGCACTTCAGCCGCACAAAACGAGGGCTCAAAAACCGTGACAAAATTAAATTCAGCGCTGGAAATTCTAGAGCACTGGGGACAAATGATACAGTGGCGCACACAATGGGAACAAAACCACAGAGGAACAGAGGGGAAATGTTCAACAAAATGCCGCCCGTGTACCCGCAATCTCAAATGGATCCGATCCTATGTGTAAGGTACGCGGAAGCAGATTGGGTTTCGGGCGGGCATATTGGCTTTGAGAATCAGGGGTTCGCCAGACACAACAAGCCGTAGGGTCGCAGAGTCAAAAACGGTTTGAAAACAATACCTTGTAAGTCAATGTCCCTTGTGAGTACTGGAAAATTAATGACAACAAGCGACTTAATTGGCATTTGGTCAATTTGAAGTTGGGCAGTCAGAGAGAAAAAACAGTTAATTATGAAAACTTTGAAGACAGTTCCTGCTTCTATACTCTGGGGTAAGTCAGTGCAATATTTTTGTTCAAATGGCGTCCATTGTTTGCACAATGCTTTCTTACTGCACAGAGTATGGACAGCTCCTATAAAAAATATAAACCATCCATCTTTCAATTTCCACATTAGCAAACTTACCTCGCTTATCCATTGACAGATAAGCATTCACCGTCTCCCCCAACACATCGTTGGTGATAAAAAAAAATTCCTGTCATGTTTTATAGTGAAATCATTCATAATTTTACGCATGTCGCATGTTGACCCAACAAAAATTAATTTTAAACCAGTCCCAGACTTTTATGGCCCCATCCCCAAGAAAAAGTGCTTCAGAGGCCTCAATCAAAACACCATTTATTCTCATTTATTCAAGACAAATGAAAACAGTTTTGACACATTGTCCAAATGTCTCTGTTTTTCCCTTCCTCCACTCACCCATCCAACTGACGACAAAGCCAAAAACGTGCATTCCGCAGGAGTTAGTCACGGAGCACGTACATGTAGGACTTTTTTCTTTCAATTTTTTTTCTGATTTTCTGGAGTGGTGGCTGTTTAGGATGAGTATGCTAGGGTAATGAAAATTGAAGAGGCTAGGATCTGTACAGTAACCTAATACTGGTACCGGTACATGCTCAGCTACAGGAGGATAAATGGCGAGACGCACCCAAACGGCAAAGGCTTCTGCCCGCTCTGGATATTGACCCACAAACGAGAAGAAAATTCAAACCAGCTGAGGCTTTTAACATTTGAGGTTCCTGAAATTTGTCTCAATTACCACAGATACCTCTCTGTTTGCTGGCCTGTGGTATTTTACTCAACAAGCATGTCTGAAACACTAAACCCCCCCCCCCTAAGAAAAAACCCACAAACACAAAAAATCCCACCAAAAAAACCCCGACACTTGTACTTTATTTATCAAATTAAAGTATTATAAACTTCCTGTTAATTTACCCTTAAGGAGACATTTTGTCGTCATTACCGTACTTGTACCGTAGGAAGACACCAGACATTAGACATTAGGGAGACATTTCAATGTCTTCCTAATGTCACAACTCCTCTTTATAGGCAACATTTTACTGTCGCAAATAGGCTACAAGTAGATCGATGCTCCCTAAGGTATTTCCTGTAATTTACACTGTAATGACTCCACATGTAGTTATTTACAGTAATTTTTGTTTAAATGTCTATTGAAATATCTGTGAAATAATTTGTCTTGTACTTTTTAATGTCAACTAACTGTATGTCTATGACTTCTCATTTGGTGGTATTTGTAGTGTTTTTAAAATAAACGACAATTGAATTGTAATTGAAGTTGTATTTTTTTTGTTTCGGACAGCCAAAGTTGAAAACCAGTTATTTTGAAAATATATACCTGTATATTGGAAGCACTTAGCAAATCCATACAAAAACATACGAAAGAAATCAAAATATTGTGTATAGCCTATTATCTATAACAGAATGGTCTAGTTCTTTTCCAAACTGTAAGTAAAAATCCAATAGATATTTCTATACACTCAGAAAATTAAATGTTAATTAAAAAAGAACTAAACCAAAACAAATCAGCTATCCCTATATTAATTACAAAGAAAGATGTCCACACTCATAAAACACAATTTTTAAAATCTGCTGTAGCCTACAACAAATACCAGTACTTCTTCCTTTAAATGGCCACCCATTCATTCCAGAAAAACATTGATTTTACCATTGAACTGCATTCAAAACGTTATGAATACTCTCTCCAAACACCTGTGAAATTGTGAATCACAACGGGGTCTGCAGAGCACCTATGTCAACAGTGAAGTGAGCAGGGTTCGAAAGCCTCAAGACTGATTGATTGGTACTCGGCAACAATGCGGGCTTTGCCTACCAGTCAATTTGTACAAGCCTAATAGGGTTGAGTACCAGTTGTTGTGTCATGGTGAAGGGGGGGGGGTGGGGTGGGGGTGGGGGGCATGCTCATGAGGTGTCAGAGAAAGATCAAGTGTATAAGGAGGGGGGTACATAGGGCAAAGAAGGGATACGTTGCCAAGTGTGGGGTTTCGGGTGGGAGGGGAATGACTATGTGAGTATAGCTTAATGTTGGTGTCTACATTGTCAACAATTCAACAGGAAACAAGACCAGTACCAGTACGGAAATTTTACAATTAAGCAATTTAACAACCTGAACATTTTAACATTTTAATCTTGGAGCTTAGGTTGAGCTTTCTGAAAAATATTCAAATCTGTAAATGTTTAACTTGGAGTAGGCCTATGCTGCATAAAGCAAGTGAATAATTGTCGATATTGAGAAAATATGGCACATCTTTCATCTCTACTATCACAACGAGAATACCTGTAGGCTGTCGGCCTAAACAGAGGTAGAATATCCCATGATTTTGAGGGTCAGGTACCTGTAAGAAGGCTTTTGAGGGAGAGCAATTTCCGTGTGTGTGTGCGGGGGCTGAGAGTCAAAAAAAGCTGTTAGCACAAAAGAAAATGTCCATCTTCCTCATTTCAATTAAGACTGACTTGCGTCCATTTATTGCTGAGTCATAAAACAAGTCATTTTCCACCGAAATGTTGGTTTTTCTCGTCTAATGAACAATCCTGGCTGCCGCGCTACCGCCAAGTTCCTTTTAAGTGCCGTCCGGGATTGCCCGGGCACCATAAAAGGATCATAACGGTACCAGGGGTGGCTGCAGTCTGGGGACCAGAGCCCAATGATCCCACTTAAACCTACAGTCTTTGTTCCAAATCCAGATTTATTGGTGAGGTTACCTGGCAACAGCAGGTCAAAAAGACAATGAAACTCACTCTTTAAAAAAACCACCAAACCATAATATGAGTCATAAATCGTAATGAGGCCAGCGGTGTAGAGTTACAAAAGCTCTTTATTTCAGGGAAACCTTAGACCGAGTTAATTGTAATGCATTTGAATAAAACGGAAATGAGGCGACTTTGTAAATAATAAATGATAGGGTTGTTTTTCTTTTAAACCAGACCGGCGCTTCCTGTAAAGAAGACTTTTAACTAAAGTGGAAATTTCTCAAATTACAGACGGCTTAGGAAGAAGATGATCTGTCACCAAAACAGTTGTTATAATTTGTGTACCTTTTTACATTTTCCTAATCTTTGGTCTTCAGAGAGGGTTAACTCCGGTGATTTATGTCTTTGAAAAGTCCGACAGGCTGTCCGTTTGGCGTCAAATTGCTTACTCAATGGTGGGACGCAAGTGACAGAAATTGATATCCTACAGTATATTCCAGATGAATATAATGATGATACACTGGTGGAAAACGCTACGTAACCCAACACAATAAATTAATTAAATGGACTTTGAACTGTGGTTCCAATAAATTTATTATATTTATAACACCCACCCCCCTTACACACACAAAATTGAAAAACTTCTGCAATTAACAGAATCAGTGGGAGGCAAGGGGTTATTTTTATTTTGTAAGGAGCTGTAGATTTCTTGATTCATTCCATTATTATTTGCCATAAACCATGCCTTCCATCTTCCATCAACTTTTTTCCAGGTCACTGATTCATGTTTCCATGAGCATACCCCCCCAAAAAGGAACAATTAAAATTAAAAACACTCTTCCAACAACATAAACCTTTTATCTAAATGAGAATTTGAAAACGCTGGCCGCCTCCCTTTGTTTGAATAATTGCTCGACAGCATCTGTCTGTCTAGACTCACGTGAAACATTCACAACATGAAAATTACATTTTAAGAACTGGTTGATTGTCTCCTATAACAGCTGACATCACCTTGTCACATGGACAGCGTAATGTTGACCTTGGATTCCTTCCCCTCCTCTGCACCCATTCATCTCCAGTCCGTTCCATCCCATATCTGGCAGCTGGTCCCTGCAACAGATTATTTCATGCTCCGCTGCGTTCACTGTTTCTGTGAGTTTGCCGTGGCATGCCTGATGCATCTTTCATCTCG